TATCTATCTATCTATCTATCTATCTATCTATCTATCTATCTATCTATCACCAATCATTAATAAATCAGTGTCCCATAAATTATGCCTATGTACTTATATGAAGAATTTAGCATTTGGGTCTTGTTAAAATTCAAAATCATTTTCCAGCCCATTTCTCTAATCCCTCTACCAGTAGATAGTTTTGAATGTCTTCTGCAATTTCAGCTGTCCTACTCAATTTTGTGTCATATTAAAATTTAGCAAGAGATAGAGCAAGGACGAAGGCTTCTGCATTTTGTAGTGTTCTTGTCTGCTATCAAAAAAAATATTTTATTTTTTATTTTGCTACAAAAGGGCAGAGTGTGTAAAACACCATATCAATCCCTCCTGTGCAGATTCCCATAGGATATGCATAAACTTCATGCTTTAAATCCCATTTCTGAGTTCAATAGCTAGAACTACTCTCATCCTTTTGAGGTGTAAAAATAAATACTCAAAACATGGGACTTATTTTCCAAATTGTGAACCATAGTTGAATTGAATCTCACACTTCTGTTATTTTTTTGTTCTTATTATCATAGTATTTTAGTTAAATGCCTATTGTAGGAACAAGAGAAGACTAAATGAAGCCCCAAAGCCTTGGATATCAACCCTACAAAATCCCAAAATTGTTATCCAAATGCAGTGCAAAGGTGTCAAAAAAGGGATATTCTCAAATGATGAAGGATAAAGAAATCATATTATAAAGTGAATTTAAAGTAAATGTGAATTAAATCAAATCAAATTTGATATTTTTCCCAGCTTTCTTCATTTTCCTTTTTAAGAATTCCTGGAACAACACTCAAAAACTGCAAGTCTGGCTAGAGAATTCTGGGAGTTGAAGTCCATGGGTCTTAAAATTGCCAAGGTTGGGGAGCCCTGACATAGACCATTAGTTCAAAGGAAACTCCATATCCCTGTTTTGAATACAAATGGATTCACTTTTATTGCAGTCATTAGCAATTTCTAGGCTGCAATCATTGGGTTTTTTTAATCAAATAACAATTTTAACTGTATCCCAGAATATTTAGAGAGAACAGTACAATTGTGTATATGTGTTCATCTTTTTAATTTGTCATAGCAAATTGTGTGTTCTTAGATAAATCAATAAGCTACAGATCAGCATTTTCTGTATGCACTGAACATGTTATTATGTACCCAAGGTTCTGGGTTGGACCTTCCCAGGTTTTTCAAATATCAGAGTGTGCAGTTCTACTGCAGGTATAGTTCATTTTTTTCTCATTTAAGTAAATAGTTTTTGCTTACAAGGAACTCCATTAAAGATATCCAAATTCAGTAGAGCTTTAGGGCATGATGGTAGAAGTTTCAAGTTTATTGATGGACTTTAAATATATTAGTGCTATTATCTTCAGCCCATTAAGAGACAGATTAATACAAATGGCTACATTGGCATGTATTTTTTTTCTTTTGTTTTAGTGGCTGAACAAGCAGAATCCATTGACAATCCATTACATGAAGCTGCCAAGAGAGGTAGGTATAGGGTCAATATTGACAAAGGACTTCATCTGATTTCTAGGCTGAAACAGATCAATTTGTTGGGGTTTGTTAAAAGCACACATTCTGCTGGTTTTTGCAGAACACCAGTTTTTTGCTTCTTTCTTCTCCATCTGCTTTAGAGTGGGGCTGAGTTCCCTTATAATTTATGCTGTAATGATGCTGGGGTTGTCAACCAGAAGATTGGCAGCTCAAGACACCCAAGTACCACCTGATGGGATGAATTCCCATTCCTTCCCCAGCCCCTCCAAAGCCTAGCAATTCAAAAGCATGCAACTGCAAGTAGATAAGTAGGTACTACTTCAGTGAGAAGGTAACGCCATTCTGTGCGCCTCGGCATATCGCCATGCTGGCCATACGACCATAGAAGCATTTTCAGATAACCATGGCTCCTTCAACTAGGAAACAGAGATGAGCAACACCCCTAGAATTGGACATAACTAGACAGGGGAAACCTTTATCTTTACCTTTATGGCAGATAGTATGAGAATGAGAAGTGTTTGATGTGAGAAGTGGGAGAGAGATTGGGTTAGCTGACTTATTTTAATCCTTTCCTCTGTTCAAAAGAAAAATATGCAATCTCCCTCCCACTCTTTTGTTATTTCTGTATTTTTGGCCCCATGTTTATGATGTACCTTTGTACAACCCGATGCTGTCCAGATGTGTGGGAGTGTAATTTCTTTCATCAGCATCTGGAAATAGGTCCAGGATTGAAGGCTTTTATCTAAATGGTCAAAAACCAGTGTCATGTATCAAAACTCATATTCCACTCCTCTTGTACATACACATGACATCATGATGTACCTACAAAAGGGGAGATTCTTTTGTTGCAGTGGTGCAATGCAGCTTTGGTTGGTTGATACAAGTATCCATTCCAGGGATGTCTTTGGCCTACTATAGTCAAAGGTTAGGGGAATATATTCTCTGGCTTTATTTTACTCAGTTTTATTTTTCTATATTTATAAACATATTGATTGAAACAAGTGCTATTCTGATAATGTATAATATTGAATAATTCATTATTTTAATGAATTGATTTGGCAACTGATGTGACATAATAGAATTTGCCTTAATAGGTTTTTTAGCATGAACACACAGATACCTAATAAAAATAAACTAGTGAAACAAAACAAGGACTATATTAGGTATTGCATTTAAAATTCATTTAAAGTTTTATGAGTGGAATTAATTTGAAAGTGCCAATGCATCAGTTTTATTTAGAACAAACTCCAAGAAACTTATTTCCAGATACATTTGTAGAGAAGTTGATTAATACTGTAATGCTTTGGAATAGATCAGTTTCTTACCTCAGTCTATTTCATCTGTTGGAAGATACAGAAGTTGTCTTGTGAATTCTGTCCTCAATGGCAACTTTGTTTTGCCATTAAGTAATTCCCTGTTGATAGTTCCAACTGGTTTTCTGCTAATTTTTAGATATGTTATATTTAATATTTAATACATATTTTCTTATTTTTCAGGAAACTTGAGCTGGTTGAGAGAATGTTTGGATAACAAAGTTGGTGTCAATGGCTTGGATAAAGCTGGAAGCACTGCCTTGTACTGGGCATCTCATGGTGGACACAAAGGTAGAGAAATTATTTTCAATTTCTGAGCCTAATTGTTTTCAACATTAAAACCAATCTTGTCCCTCACTTTGCAAAAACAGTTTGCATCCATATTCTACTTGCATATGTATTTTTATCTCTTACAAATTTATTTCTATATTCACTATCGCATGCCATTTTCTATGCTTAGAATTTTCGTTTTACCATAGAGAGGAAAAGAGGGGGAATGGAGAGAAAGAGTGATTGAGAGGGAAAGAGAAAGTGTGTGTGTGTGAGAGAGAGAGAGAGGAGGGAGGGAGGGTAGGTGGGAGAGACAGAGAGACAGACAGATTGATTTAATGTGAAATATATCCACAAATTTTAGGTGTCTGTTTTGACCGGATTGCAAAATTTAGTGAAATGAAAAATGTTGTTCACATATTGGATGGGAAAGCACAATTTGACTTTCTTACTCTTTTCTTTAAAAACATATATTATACCTTAATTAAACCAAAGGGTAATTTTCCTAGATGTTTCGTTTATTGAGTTAGTGAGTTCAGTTATTATTGGAGTCTTTTCCAGTTAATTTCCCCAAATCTAACAATGAAAAAGTGAGCCTTTTTGCTGATTAATTCAAAGTCTTGGCTTTCCTAATTTCTCATGAAGTTTTCCAATTTTTTTTTTCTTCATTTGGTGTAGACATCGTGGAAGTGTTATTGACACAGCCAAAGATAGAACTAAACCAACAGGTAGGGAATGACACACTGAGTGGCTTTCAAGAATTGCTTTGCAGTAATGTAGCAGGTTGCAGTTGAAATGATCAAAACGGATCCTTTCCAACCTTTAAGGTTATTTATTTTATTTTATTTTATTTTTTTAAATATAAATTTTATTGAATAAACATTAAAAACAAATGAATACAGTGCAACTTTCTTGGCCATCATTTTGGCCATACAAACTGTAGTATAGAGATACACATAACAGTTAATTTCCTTTTTCCTTTAAGGTTACTTTTGTTCTCCTTTTACAGAATAAACTGGGAGACACAGCTCTGCATGCTGCTGCATGGAAAGGTTATGAAGATATTGTAGAAATTTTGCTAGGAAAAGGTACTGTATTTCTGAATATAACCCAAATTTTGGGTTAAATGTCTCTGTTTACCAAGAAATTTGTATTTTAAAATACAACCTCTGTCCTCACAATGACACCCAGCCCGAGTCTGAACTAAAGTTAAACAGTAAAAATATTTTCAGTCATGCTTCTTTATTGATCTAGAGAGGTCTCATTTTATAAATACCTTTTCATTTCTATGTACCTCAAATTTGACAGGAAGCTAGTTCAGTTTTTAGAAAGGAAGTAAGGTGAGAGGAATTTTATTTCTCTGTTCAAACTTAGGGCATTGTTGTCCTGTATTTTGTTTTCATCAAGGTGCCAGAACAGACTTAAGAAACAATGAGAAAAAACTGGCTTTGGACATGGCTACCAATGCTGCCTGTGCTTCCTTGCTTAAAAAGAAACAAGGGCAAGGTAAGACATAACTTTTTTGCATATATTCTCCCAGGACAATTGGACTGGTCCGAGCAACCAAAGGCTTCAGTAGACAGGTGGCTACCCCAAGAGAAGATACACCAAACAATTTCTACTTTTAACTAGGGTTAGCATGTCATGGCAATACCCAATTCCAGTCAGTAATGGAATAGAAAATAACTAGTCTTGTCCCAAAAGACACTGATATTTAAATGGGATTTAAATTACCTTCCCTCAGTCAAGCTCATCATATAAATCCCCAAATCAGTGAACTAGGCAATGTTAGGCAATTTCTAAACCCCATCCAATCCATTGTCTACCCAAAAAGACCTGGAGATAATGAGAAGCCTCTCCGTTACATCCCTTACTACTAAATCCTGAAGCACAGAGTCCAATTTCCAAACACGGGTGGATATAACTGATATTTTCCTGGACAATGGGAAAAGGGCCAACAAGATAACAACAGAATGTTAATAATATCACAGCACAGAGGTTCATGGGACATCCAGCAGGATTGGAGAAAGCAAGTGATGATACACCACTCCCCAAAATGTAGACTTTTGACTGGTGTGGGTGATTGTGATTGTGTGCTACAGCCATTGCCAAGGAGATATGGCTGGGTTAGTGGCTGTTCTTTGAATACAGGAGTAGTTTATCTTTATTTTTTCCCTCAAAAATACCAGGCTCTGGGGAAGAAAAAATGTATAACCTGTAAAAGCCTTGATCGACTTAATGCCAATTCATTCATTCATTCATTCATTCATTCATTCATTCATTCATTTATTTTATATAGCTACCCATCTCAAGTACATAATTCTGAATGGCTTGCAATTAAAAACAAGATTAAAAAAAACCCAGAATACAATATCAAAACATATAGAAAAGCTTATAAAATATATAAAAACATATAACATAATCCTCAACTAAAGTAGTAAAAACAAGCAATGATGAGAGAGAATGCTTGAAATATAATTAGTTTAAGAATATAGAGTTATATTTGAAATGTGAGAAACTTAGCTTAACCAGAAATTGCAATAAAGGAAGATACTTTCTAAAACATCAGTCTAGCTCAAAACTGACAATTTTATATTTGTTTCTTGTTTTTTTATAGACATATTGCGAACATTAAGCAATGCAGAAGACTATCTTGATGATGAAGACTCTGATTGAATTGCCTTAATTTTGCCTTGAAAATCAATAGCTTCTTCTTTTCATCTTTCTCACATTCTTTTCCTCTGCTATGATAAAATATTTTTTTATCACAATATGTGCTACTATAATTTAAGTATGGGAAGACATTCCTTATAAAAAAAAAGCTCTCCCCCATTAAGGCTATAAATTCCCTAATTGCTTTTTAAATTATTTGTCTAGAAGAGGGCTATGTAAAAATAGGCATCACCTTTTAAATAACAGATATAGCATTTAGAGATGTCAGCCTTTTGGGGTGGATGGGAAATAAAAGGACATGTTTTGGGCTATTTTATGGAGGAAAACATCTCAGGAACTTGGATTCTCCACATAACATTTTCATATCACCCCTTATCTCTCTCTTCTCCCTCCATATATATTTATAGGTTGTCTCTCATTAAGTTGATGTACTTTGTGCTAGAACTCCTAATGGCAGGTTATGTAAAAACTTGGGCCAGGGACCTAAAATTAAATAACTCCTTTAATGTTTCCCTTGAGAACTGGCTGTGATTGCAATTACTGTAAGTTCATTCGCATGGCACAAAAAAAAAGTTGTTTAGCAACAGATGAGACAGGGAGGGAATAATCTTGAGGGAAGAGAGAGAAAGGGAAAGGAAGATTGTTTGATCAGCTAAAATGCAGCCATTTTACCTTGATGGCCAACCTTGGCAACTTTAGGATCCGTTGGACTTCAACTCTCAGAATTAGTCAGCTAGCTATGGAATTCTGGGAACTGAAGTCCACAGATCTTAATGTTGCCAAAGTTGGACCCAGACTGTTCTAGGAGTCTTGTCAATACAATTGGATCTGGAGGATAAAAGGAGGCCTAATTCTGTCTTCAACAATGAAAAAACTGTAGGGAGAATTTGATCATCAAACCTGGCATCCATAATAATAATTTTGGAGATGAAAAGAAGCTGAGCCTTCTCTTTCTCTCTAATTTGTATATGTGAGATATTTTCCCAATGGTTCATCTTCTTGTCCCTTATTTCACAGAATCTCTGCCCTCTGTCTGTGTGTATGTATGTATGTATGTATGTATGTATGTATGTATGTATGTATGTATGTATGTATGTATAGATAGATAGATGTGCTTGTGTGTGTCCAAGTCCTGAATTTTAAATGGTGGGAAAACTAAGTAAGATATCCTCAGTTGTCTTGCTTTATGGCTTTATTAAGTAATAAGCCAGGAAATATGGCATTTGTCCAACTGAACACATGCAGAATTCTGTTAGTTTATCTGTACTATTTTCACCAGCTGTCTTCTTTTTCACCTGAATGTCTGGTCGAAGTTTTTGCTACGAAGGAATCCAGCATCTGACTTAAGAGAGATGCAATAAGCCAATCCATTTCTGCCCTTTGTTATATCTGTAGGTTACAACATAGAGGTCACAGTAAATCATTTTTCCCAAAGTGTTCCTGGCTGCAATAATGGGAGGTGCATTGAAACACACCTGAGTATATAATATTAGGACCAGCTGAACTCAGTCTTCATGTATTTATACTACAATTCATTCACGGAGGACCATGGTTTATAATCTTCTGTTTGTACAGGTTGTCCACTTAATGTGGAAGAAATTTACCTGGAGATACTCATTATTCCATTGTAATTTGGAAGATATTTGTGGTTGTGTCTGTAACAAGATGATAATGACTCTTTCCACCATATGCTCTTAACTTTCCTGTTTCTTTTCACCTTTAAAGTATTTCATTTCAGGACAGATATGTTTCTGAACTCATGTGCGATGTAAAAAAAAGCCTACAAACCAAAAGTATCTTCAGAGAAAGATTCAGTATGAATAAATATTTTTAAATGCTTTGAAACTTCATTGTAGTTCTTCCTTAGACCAACATGGCTTTGCCAAGGGTAAAATAAGTAGTGATCATGATTGTAACCATGTAACCCACCCTGATATCAGATGGGGACACTGGATTTGGAAGTGCCATAGAAGAGCAGAAAATCTTACATTATTTACCCTTCAGTTTCATATTTGTTGTCAGAGAGGATGATATTTTTATCTTAAGTGCCTGAGTGACTTCCCTAGTCTTAAGTGCTGTTTATTATAACTAGTAGAGAAAGACAGAATTGTTGCTTTGTCCAAAGGGTCAGAGTATCATGGCCTGTTACAGAGGCTGTGCTTCAGAAATGCTTAGTGGATTACCACTGCATTTTAACCAATCTACACAAAATGAGAGTGAAGAAGCTACAACCATAAATCCATTTTAAAAATGTGCATATATTGTAGATTGGGTGCAGACTTTACTGCAAAGCTAATTATTGTTTCACGTTAATTTACATCCAACACAGTCTCTTGGAATGAACCCTTTCCTCCCTTTTGCACATATAATTAAGTTCTTCAGATGTTTGTCTTATTTTATAGGGCTCTTACAACTCCAGACATGTTTACAGCACAAATACTTCTGTGGATTAGTAATTTACTTGGATTTTTATGAGGTTTTCGCTTTATGTTCTTTTCCTATCTGCATATAGAAGATAAAGTTCGGGACAAGAGTTGTAAACAGCTCATATAAGTAATTCCATTTCATTGCACTCAATCTAGTTTATTATTATATAAACTAATAGATCTTTCCTAACAAATATTTATTATGTGTTTATTTGCAAAGCATACATTCAACATAAACAAATGTGACTTTCAATAAAAGATTCTACACAAAAGAAGGTTTTGTTATCTGGTTAAAAGTTAACATTTCATTGTGACCATCCTCGGAAAAACTGTTTCTAAGGAAAATGGAGATTTGAGTTACAAATTTCTGCATAATTTCTAATTATAAGACATCCAAGTAAGCCTTAAGGCATAATCTATTTTGCATTAAAACCATGGTTTAGAAGTAGAAAACCTATATCTGTCCAAATGATGGTGAATCCAGAATCCCATCCATAACAGCTATAATTAGGAATCACAGGAGATCTAATCAATTTCTGACAAGGTCAGATTTATTAATCACCTTTCAGTAAAAAATTTAGAGCAGTATCCTGAGGAATAGACATGTCAAGACAGATTTAAAAAACCAATAAAAATACACTGGGAAAACAGTGTACATTTTGAGAAACAAAATATATGTACCCTAACTTTTGTTGTTTCATTTGGTAATAATGGAATCTGAAGTGTCTGAGAATATCAGTTTGGACAAAGTCAGAAGTGGTAGCAAAATCAAATATATGAAATATCACTCTTGATCATTTTTTAAAACCTTATAAAGTTCTACTATGAAAATTTCCCTGGAGAAATATCATAAAATACAATACTGATAAAGCAATAAAAATACCGCTAAAAGTAATCGCAACTCATTATTGCATGTAGTCTAAGACACTTTGTAGAAACTAGGCAAAACTTATCACATGAACAATTTATAATCTTTCAGAGCTACTATGCCTCTTCAATGCTTTACGTGTGGCTTCAGAGGTTTTACGAAAGTTGCTACCAAACTATAATTTTAATAGGTCTGAATGAGACCAGTCTATATATGAAACGATATTGTATTTAATTAATTTAATTGAAGTTAAATTTTGTTGGTTTTTATAGTCTTTCTAGTTTCCAGCTGCAAGTACTAACAAACTTGTAAAAACCCAAAAGATTTAATGCTAAGTGTTTAGTACTTAATTAACACTAGGCATAAAAAAATGATTAAAAGCCCAGCAAAAAAGATGCATCCAATTTAAGGAGAGGTCAAACGCAACTTCCAAGGGAATGTGTATTGTAAGCCTAGGAGCAATGTAGAAAAAGGCCTTCTCTCATGTTCCTGAGGAACGGACCTTGACTGCAGAAAAACCTTTTAAAAGGCTTATTCCGCAGATTTTAACTCCCTAACAGGTTTCATAACACAAGAAGCAGTCCCTTAACAGCCTTAAGTCATGCAGACTTTTAATTTAAATTAAATAAAAGTACACTAAAGTTAGAAGTTGTCTTGCTTCACCACCACCTAATTTCTTCATCAAAAAGCCTTTCAATGCTAGAATACAGAATTCCTCCATGCCCCAAGCCATACAGCATATTAAAGAGAAGCACTAAGGGTTCCCCCCCGCCCCAAAATGTGCTTAGCAGTGAGCCATTTCCAGGAAAAAAAAAATTAAAATCTGATTATATCGCCACCAGTTGATAGACTAGCAAACCTGCTTTTAAAAGAACAGCGGTTTCTCGGTCGTTTTTCAGAGGTAGACTTACATACATCTCATTGTAGCTCAGGAAGTTACTAGTCCATGAAAAATTATCTTCTAGGCCAGGTGTGTTCAACCCATGGCCCATAGAGAGGGCCTGCATGAGACCCTGGACATTAGTAATGCAGCCCCGTAAGACCTCAAAAAATAGTTTGTTATTTATATACATTATGTTACTTATTTTATATCTGGTCCAAGACAATTCTTTTTTTTGGGAAGCAGTTCTTTTTCCTGATCCTCAAGGCCTTTCCTTTGGCCCTTTACAGAAGGGCATACTCCAGGAGTGGAGAATATTTCTCGCTAAAGTTACGTATTCTTCATTTGGTAGATACCCTGATGGATAAGTGAAGATTTGCAAATCAATAAACGTTAGTATTTTTGAGGTGGGGAGTTAACTGCTGGAGAAACCACATTTAGGCATCTCTCATACTTCTACAGCCTGTAGGGAAGTTATTATTCCTAAGAACTTCAACAGTTTCTGTTTTGGCATCTTCCTCAGAAACACAATTCTTGAGCCAGTATTTTAGTCTCATGTCCATAAAAAGCTACGATATGAGCAAGGAAGGAACATGAAAATGCTTCTTGTGAAAGATGTATAGAAAGAGTCCATTCTTGCCTCCCGTGAGCTCCAGCACTTCTATTTTTGGCCTGCAGTTCTTGACTGGTTTCTCCAAAGCCAATCCAGCTTTAAGTGTGAACAAGATTCCCTGTTCCTCGTCTTAGTCAACACATAGCAAAGCATCATTTTAACATTGCTGGTAGTGTTCCCATTGCTCAATAGTATTTAGACTCTTTGTGTAACTCACTCACACACACACACTTTTTTCTTAGAGAAAGCCTTGACGAGAAAATGATCCAGCTATATAACAAGAATGAATTTTTCTCTATATATTACTTTCCAGGGCTGAGTCCAAACATGTTTCTTTTCAAGGAAATGAGCTTTCCAATGCAGGCAGATAGAAAATCAATCTGTCTTACTAGCTGAAACTACACTGACAGAATTTATAGCTTCACTACCGCATCCTTCTTCTGCAAGATGAATACCAAGGGTGAATATGCATGATATTCTCCGCTGATTAGCAGAGGTGCTGAAGAAAAAAACAGCTAGTAGAATACTGGCAGATTGGTACCCTTCACATGAAATACAGAAAGTTTCTTCAAACAGCAGCAAAGAAAACTGCATAAAGGAAAAGCCCGTGCAGAACTGTTTTAAGTTCTCTAATAGATGGTAGAGTTCATTGCAGTCAACTGTGCACTTTCCAGAATCCATACTGGCTGGGTATTTATAGAAATAAATTATGGAAGTCAATATATAACAGTACCTGTTTAAAGCAGGTTTGGTTTACTGTTATTCATCAAAGAAATTTCTCTGTTGATCTATTGCAAGATATCCTCATGGTTGATTTAAGTATGATTAATTCAATTATTCCTTCACGTGAGACCCTAGTTTTGTCAGGAGATTGGCCAAAGATGCTCTAATAATTGGGAATATTGTAAAATCACATGTGTGTAAATCATACCTAGGCTGAGTTTGCTGGACTATCTAGTTTGTGGTTCAATGTGTTGCATCATTACAACCCATTTTAGTTACATTCTAGTTATTGTACTGGTTTTGATTAATTTCCCAATAGACATCAACATTTTAAGGAAAATGTCCCCTAAACTCATGTTAGGGGAGCTTGATTCCCAACTCTTCAGATGTTTGACCTTCCTTTAGTAACTGATTAACAGCAGAACCTCTGACGATTCAACATAGTTAGAGAAAAACATTATCACTAGCTAAAAAACTCATATCTACACAGAAAAACAACTACAATATAATAACGATATAAATCTTTGTGCATGCATGCTCACAGGGACAGCTTTAGACTAAGTCCAAGTAGGCAGTGGCCTAGGGCACCAATCTCACCCCTTCTTGCAAAAATAAAAGCCACAAGGGAAAAAATGACTTATTGACTTATTATTGACTTATTCTCTTGGACACTAGAGAACGGGACAAGAAGTAATGAGTGGAAATTTTTAAAGAGACATCCAACCTAGAAGTAATGAGAAATTTTCTAATAGTGAGAACAATTAAGCAATGGGATAGTTTGCCTCCAGTGAGTTCCCTCACTGGAGTTCCCTCACTGGAGCTTTTCAAAAATAAGCTGGACTGGGATCTAAAAATAACCATTTGACTGGGATAATATAAGGTTCCTGCCTTGAGCAGAGGATTGGACTAGATGATCTCCGAGGTGTCTTAGCCTCTGGTTCTAAATAAAATTGTTTACATTTCATCTACCTTTCAAGAATCAATGTTAATGCAGATTTTTTGGGTATTTTTGCTCTGAGGCTCAATAATTTTCAGTTGACTATGACCAGCAACTCTGCTCCAGCATAATAATGGACCAGACTGTGGTTGCCAAAGTCACCACACACAGAGAAAACATTGATTGTTTTAAAAATATCATCTTCACCTCAGTAACAGGTGATGTCAACAGTCAATGTGGTCCAGAGGCGCCATATACCCTTCAGCTGGCACTGCTTGCACATGTGTATGTAAGCTTCCTAGGGGTTAAATCCTAAGTGTCTTTCTTGCACTCTTCTGTAGTATCACTTTCTACTATTCTTTTCTAAGACAAGAATGTGGAGAATGCTTGAATTGTCA